GGGCTCAGGGGATGTGGGGCTCCTGGACAACTGGTACACAGAGCTGGCACCCCCTGTTCTCCTCGCAGGGGGCCTCTCTGGGGAGGCACCCCAGGGACAGGCCCCATGCTGGCTCTGTACCCTGAGCGTGCCCCTGCTGTGAGTGTCCCAGGTGCAGCATAAGGAGCTGTTTGCATGGACTGAAGGGTGCCTGACTCACAATACCCTGTTGTTCCTGATGGCCATGGTGCCCCGGGTGCACCTGTGAACCTGGCATGGGACTGAGCTTCAACTGTGTGGTGGACAAGCCAACACTGCCCTGCAATCTCTGCTGCCACCTGGAGAGCTACCTGGGGCTGTGATACATGCAAGTAATATAGTCTTAGCCGAGGAATTTCTTAATACTTAAAGCTCTTGAAAGTTTCAGATTTTCAAAAATAAATAGTCCTGAAGTCTGTCTAACCTTTGTCCGATCTTACCCTTCTGCGAATCTGATGCAGTATTTCAAGTCAGGCAGTGCCAAGGGAGTCAATTGACTTCATAGCTCAGTTTAATCTACCTGATCCCTTCTAATCTCTTCCACAGGTGTTAGCAACCCTCTTCTTTTTAATGGTCTTCATGTTCCAGCAATCAAGCTATCCTTTTTTCTGCAATTCTGTTGTCTGTTAGCTGCTCATGGTAATGAAACTTCTATTCTGTAGTCCTGCAGATTGTTTTTAACTCATTCCAATGAAGTTATTTTTGTTTTTGCTTCAATCTGAAACTGAATAATACAGCCCTAGCCCCCTGACATATTAGCAAAGTTTCTAGTTTATTTTTAACTGGAGAAAAATCTGTATTGTGTTACATGTGATGATGCACCTCCCTTTTTCAAAATTCTAGATCTGCCTATGCTTGTTCTCAGTCTTGCCTCTTCATGGCCAGCATGCATCTCACCTCTTTGCAGGCACAATGCCATCTATTTGAACTTGACTGCCAATATTAGCAGACCCAGTGCTGCAGAGTAGCATGATTACTCTGTATTTGCTCTTTTTTTTGGTCTATATATCTGCCTCACTCCTTCTCAGAGTCTCTGTCAAAGAAAGAGGCAGGGTATTTTTAGTTTTTCTTTCTCTTTTCTCCTTCACAGTGCACACCAAGTAAACCTTCTACCACATAGCTGATCAGCGTGGTGGTATAATACATGCAGCGGTGCACAGCAGGCAGGCACACATTCACAGAACCACCCTTGCAGATACTTATTTTTGGGGAAGTGGGAGAATTGGAAACTAGGCATTTTTGTAGCATGAGAAAGAAAAAAGAGAGAAAGAGAATAAATCATCCCCTGGGCATAAGTCCAGGTTCTTTCTATGCCCCTCATCAGATTTATTCAGCAACTAAATTAGAAATGTGATGGCAGAATAAAATGGATGAGGTCTATAATAAGTTGATGGATTTTGATTTAAAAAACTGGGGAGCGTAGAGTGGCCCTATGCCTACCTATCTATCTGCATGTGTGGATAGGTATTATTTACTGGGTACTTTCTATAGGTAAGCTTTTTGGGACAGGAATGTCATGTACACCTTCCTGCCAAAAGAAAGGCCCTGATCAGACTTCTCAACCTCTTAAGCACCAGAGCAGCCAAGACCTCCATATTGCATAATTCAAATGCCAGGATGCATAGCAGGGCATGTCTTCATGCAAAGCTAACTGCTCAGTAGCCAAATAATACTGTGCAGTAGCGCATCACAACACAGACAGTGCTAATACACTACTGGGCAGTATTATTAGGCTACTACAAAGTAGCATCACTTAAAAGGTGTTCACTGGCACTACTGTGCAGTAACTCCAGTTACTGCGCACATATTCATACTTGTATGACCATGTATTAAATAATTTACAGGTACTTGATTATAAAAGTACTTGTATAATCAGATACTCGTATAATCAAGTATTAAATAAATGCACAGTAACCACTGTGCACTAGCATCTCATGTAGGTGTACCCGCAGTCATTTAATTGCCATGTGTATCCTAAAGTTGCATCCATTCAGTAATTGCCTAACTTGGGAAGTGTTCAGATCCCATGCAGGTGTCTTTATATCTCCTTTTTAAATATCAAGTAAACTATGCATCCATTTTTATCTTCTTGGTTCATCCTATGGTCAGTTGGAATCCATCATGTGCTTGCTGTCTTCCTCCAGGGCTGTCTCAGGCCTGCTTGCTTCCTTATGTCTCTCCCCATAATCTTTCTTGCAACTGCTACCTGCTCATTTTTATGTCCTAAGGAGGAAGAGCCTAGTACTGATACAGATTAATTTGAGCCTGCACTTGCTATTGCTGGAATGAACTGGGATGCAGGCACTTGGGGAAGAGGGAAAGAAGCCTTTTAGTTTCCCTGGCAGGCTGACAAGAACTCCATCACTGGAAGAAATCTTAAAATTGCTGCTCCTGATTCTTTTCCCTCAAGAGGACAGAGCATCCTGTGCTGGGGAGAGTTGGTGGAGCCCCCATTATTTGTCCAGTCAGTAAAGAAAGGCCCTTCTTTTGAGGCACATTCCTCAGCACATCTTCCCTCAGACTCTCTCCTCCAAGAAATGGTTATACTACCCATTCTACAGAGGATCTCTGCCACAATTGCCCATTAACTTTATGATGATTAATTTGATTACAAATCATTTTAATGGAGGGTTGTTTTGTAAACATATATCCATCATAAATGCTGATCCTGATGAAATTCAGCTAATCATAATCCTGCTTAAGGTCCCAACTCACTGAAGAGAACACCCATGCAGAGGCAGTGTGTTCACATAAGCACCTCCAAATATCTGAAACTTATTTGTTACTTTACTGACCTGCCCAGAACCGAATGCAGGCCTCTATCTTTCTCTTACTCTATTAACTCCTACGGTACCTAAGTCACAGCACTTCTTTCTCTGCTAGTGTGGTTAGTGATGCTCTCAGCTGCTGCAGGAGAAGATAAAACATGTCACTTATGTTTTCTCAGGTAAAAGTGTTTAAGTTCACCTTCAAAACACATGCGTGTTTCATTTTTACATTCACTCATAGCTTCTGCTAATGATCTGAAACCCCCCAAAAAGTGTTTTTTTAAAGTGTCTCTAGCAAGCTTTCAACAGCTTTACACTAAATGGGGAAGTGATTTCTCTGGGTGCCTGAGTGATTGCAGAGATGCATTAGTTAATGTCGGATACATCGATTCTCAACTTGGATGATGTGAGATCCTTTTTAGGGTGCTACAGGGGGTCACACAGTAATAGCACTGTTAGATATGTAAACACCTGCAGATGATATACAAGATAAAACTGGAGATTTCACAGAGTGTCAAAAGTGTTCTGACCTGTTGTTGTCTTTCTCAGTTCTTTGCAACAGAAGAATTTCTCTATTATTTTTTCATAGTCAGGAAATGAGTGAAAGCCAATAGCTGGTATTTTCCAAGGGGTGCTGTGAGTCTAACTGCAATTTTGTAGTGCAGTTGCTTACTGCCTATGAAGATTCAAGAGGCAGAAAGAGCCCAGATGGATACTGGGTGATGTACGAGGCACCAGAAGTCAGAAATACCATCCCTTGAACACATAAAATGAGCTCATTTGCTGTGGAGTCACTGAGAAAGACTGAAGACAGGACACTGCAATGTCACAGTCTCAGAGTCACTTTTCTAATAGTAGAGCTGCAATCAGAGTGCCAAGTTATTCTCTCATTTACACTGTAATTGTGCAAATGGCCTCACTGAAGGTGCTAAGGAGACTATAGCCCTGAATCTGCATGATTCTTCCCCTCACTTCCCAGTGCATGAAGCTTTTTGACTGGTGGTGGTTCTCTAAGATTTGTGTCTTTTCATTATTCCCTTTTTCACTGAAGCAGTACAGAGCTGCATCCCTCTGCCCTCCCTCTCTTTTGCTTCTGGCATAGCACAAAAGAATGCAACCAGGTAAGGAGCCAGGGAGCTGGCCTTAAAGAGTAAGAACAACCATGGGGCTGAAATGCATATCCAAGAAAGGTATTTAGCCTCAAGCGTGCAGTTGTCTCAAACTGCTGTTTTCCTCCATTAATTTTAGCTGTGCTGCAGGAAATGAAAGCACACTATTTTACTGTAAATGCCTTTTTCCCCCTCTCCCCACCCTTGCGGCTATCTGAAGACTCACATCACTGATCTTCTCACCAAGGGCTATTTCTGTCACCTCTTAGATCAATTTGAGTCTGTTCTGTGCACACATGATAAAGACAGGATGGGGCTTCTGTGGCCTTGAACAAATTTGCAGATTTTGGATAGCAAGAACTGTTTGACATTGTTAAGAGGTCTGAGGGACCAAAATCAGCTTGGGCCAGCTTGCTGAATTGTACTGATCTGGTCTGACTACATTTAAATGGCTATTTTTGAATGTCACACAGAAACACAAATACTCTGTTCTACTCTGCAAAGCTTTCTTAAAATTACTCTGACCTTGGCAAATGAGATGTATGTACTTTGTATGAAGTAATTCAATACTGTAAGAATATGGCATTCCAGGTGCACGCTGAAGTCATGGAATAAGCATCTCTATGCAACTCAACTGGCTGCATCCTAAAAAGGGAGAATTAGATCCCATACTGTCCTTCTCCAAGGTGGGTGAGACGAGACTGATCTGCTTGTGAATATTTTACAATGATAAAAGATGTTAACTGACCGTTGGTGGGTCTCCTTTCCAACACAGCATAACTTCTTGTAACCTTTAGTCTCCACTGAGGTTTGTACATGGGCTTAAGTGGCGCTTTTGGGTGCTGAAAAACAGCTTGCATTTGTATATTCTACTTCCTTTGACGATGCCCACTCTTTTTTGTGCTGCTCTTTGAGCCAATAAAGACTGGGAAAGGCTTTGGAGGTTGGGCATCTTCCTCCTTTGCTCACGATTGGACTTAGCATTGGCATCTTCTTAAGCCCAGATAACTGGCTGAGACAGCTGGTCGCCCACCCAGCTCCCAGCTACCTCCCCTTGCAAGCTGATTGTGGCTCGTGTTTCTACAGCATGAGTTCAGCCACCCAAGACCTTGCAGGTCTATTTTGATACATTATTCAATCTGGTCAGAATGTTCTTTTTTTCCCCCCCTTGCTTCTGACATCATTTCCTGAGCAATACATTCATTTGACAGTGTAGTTAGATCCTCGTCTCAGCATGGGATGGAAGGAGCTCTTTAAAATGGATTTCAAATCTTCATTGACCCTGCAGTGCATGCTGGTGATGATAACCATTATTGATGGTAAGTAGAGTTTTCTTTATGAAATTGGCACTGATTCACTTAGGTGAGTAGACACCTTTGTTTTGTTGGGGTATCTTTTAGGCGTTTTGGGAAATCTCAGGATTTGGAGTCACTAATGCGTGAAAAGGGGCAGTCAGACATAAACTGATTGTAACTAACTATATAGAGCCTTGATATATAGCAGGGGTGAGAGCTGTTGAAACAAGAGTGGTTAGCGACCATTGTACTCAGCAGACTTGCTAGAGCCGGAGATAGGAATATGGGACACTGGGGTTCTGTTCCTAACTCTCTGTGTGACCTTGGATCAGTCATTTAGCCACTGTGCCCTGGCCTTTACTCATCTGTAATTGGGATACAGGGATTTTGACTTAATGCAGTAGGATGCCGTGAGACTTGAGTCAAGTTTGCAAAGGCGTTTGAGATGCTGAGAGGAAATGGCTGTCGGCAGCAATTGCACTATAAATCATGGCATTACTGAACTAGATGCCAGCTATCTTTTTGAGCATCTGACTGCCTGCTTACAGCATCTGTCTTCCAACAATGAGGAGAGGAAGCAGTTGGTCATAGGAACTTGGAAGTAAAGAAAGAAGCTTTGATCAGATTTTGTCTCTAAAGTGCTGGTTTAAGGTGTGTCTTCCACCTTGATCTTAGCAGGATTGCAGAGCTCGTCTTTGCATCAGATTTAACCTCTTCTCTTCCTCTTCTGTTCCTATGTTTCAAGTGCACCTAGCACTTTGATTTCCAAGGGCTCCAGCACTTTCAGCTGCCTCTGGTGAGGCATTCTCTTGGTGGGATACATAATAGAATCAGTGACTGTTTTATTATTGTTATTGCAGGCTACGGTGAGACTAACATACCTGTCACCGGTGTCAGAGGCAGCTCGGTCACCTTTCCTTTGCGAAGTCAAGGCTTGAATGATCTCTCAAAAATAACTGGGCCCAAGTGTTACTGTTTGCTGACTGAATCCAATGATACCTGGTCTGCAAACATATGTGGCGGGAAGATGCATATCTGGAAAGGATCAATAGAGCTGGTGAATGTGATGGAGGAAGATGAGGGGCTGTATATATTTGATTTTGGAGAAAGAAATGAAACGTTCTTTCTGGAAGTGTTCGGTAAGTGAGCCTCATTTGGGATCAGTAGTTCTGGAACCTCTGAGCCTGACCAGAGGTTTCTGCTCCCTTGTCTTCCCCAGAGGCCAGTTTGGCTCGTAGTAACTTTAGGGGCACCTCAATTTGCTGGCACAGATTTTTCATCTTTGGCTCTGTGGCATGGAGCCATATTTCATAGGAAAGAGTCTCTGCATCTGCCTTGTCAGTCTCCCCTTCCTGCTGAGACAACTTAGGGTACAGAAGATGCCCTTAAGAAGATGCCCTTGTGGTTTGATTTCAGAGACAGCAGCAGGGACACGGTTTTCAGGGAGTTGGGGATTTGAGTCCATTTCCTTAGCATGACTGTTGGTGGTGGCTGTTGTCAAAAAAACCTATTGCCACTGCTGTCACTAACATCCCCCTCGTTGGCAGTCTTATGTGGGAGGCTACAGAGGGAGTGGGCCATGGAGACTGACCTCCCTTCTTGCCCCATGAGGTGGGTCTTTCCATGTCAGGTTCTCTATTCCTCATTGCTCCATTTCTCTGAAGGGGAAGGCAAAGGGGTCTGAAAAAGGACCCATTGCTACCACCTGACTCATCTGTTCACCCCCAGCATGTGGTTTAATGCTTTGATGTCAGGTCCCTCAGGGTTATCACGCCAGTTAGAAGTTGGCAACACAGAGCCCTCACACCGTCACTCTCCTTCCTGCCCTAACCATTTCTGCTTTTCTTGTTTGCCAGGTGGCCTAGCTCTGGACTAGTAGCAGCCAGTGCAAGTGGCAGCAAAGACCCTTCTGCCAGCTTTAGATTAGCAGAGATTCCCCAGTTGGTACAAGTCCATGAACTGCATGAGAGAACCCCAGCCCACTTGAGGGGATCAATTAATCAAGTCTGCTGGAGCGTGATAATTACCATGCTCCACAGACTCCAGCATTATGTATCAGCAGCCAACAAGCTTTAGTTAAAGTGCCCCCATCACCATTTTTCAGTGCGGGAATGCTGATACATGTGACATTTGAGGCACTTTAATTAGAGCAGCTCTCAGAGCTGCTGTAATTAAAACGCTCCCCGCCCCCCCAAGAAGCACGTGTAGAAACACCCTCTAATGTGAGGTACTAAATAAATGCACATTAGGCTGCCCTACTACCCAGTAGCAAAAGTGTACACTTTTTCAGTGACACTTACATCCAGTAGCCTATTTGTACTGTGCATTAGCGTATTAGCATGGTTTTTGATGTGATGCTTTAGTGCATGGTAAAATAGGCTACTACACTTTCAAACACATGTGTAGACATGCCCAATGATTATTCACTTTATATCTGTGCTATAGGCAAACCAAAGAGTGCTTTTGTATCACCTTGCACCACATTCACTGTAGAGTCTCATTTTCTTGTGCTTTCAGTTACACAAGTCATAGGGAGTTTTTTCTGCCAAGAGAAAATGAAGTTTATGGGATTATAATAGAAATGTCAAAGTGACCTGATTACAGTAAAGACAAATGAATCTTAGTGTCAGTGCAAACAGGCATAACTGCAACTGATGGCAGGATAGAGTTCCTTGGCTCAAGAATCAGGGGTTTAGATCTGAACTAGGCAAATACCTGCTTTTCCCTGTGCTTCAGCAAATTTACTTCAAATGTTTTTACCCCTTACTCATTTGCTTGCCAGAATATTTTGGGGAAAGAGTTTCCTGGCAGGACTGACACAATGAATGTTAGATGAATACTAGACAGTATTCAAAGATGATTTTTGAGCTTGTTTACATGAATATTTGCATAAAGGACTTAAGTATGAACTGCACGAATGTAATGAGAGAAGAGGCATGTGGTAGGTGACCTTTCAGATCAACCCATACTTTGCAGCTGAGAGTCCCAATGTAAAAAAAACCCCCAAAACCCCAAAATGTTTGTAATGAGCCAAACTGAAGGATACATTCATGCAGGAAAATTAAACAGACCTGGGAATCATTCTTTCTGAGTAAATTATTCTTTTTATGTGTATACATTCATTGTTGCTTCTGTGATTATTTATTTCTACCAAAAAAGTATAGCAATACAAACTTTTTGTGAAATGGATGGCACATTATAGAACAAAGGACTTTCCAGAGGATTCTGATCCACCAAACCAACACAGTGCAAATCTTAGTGTCATATGTTCTCAACAAATTCTTACCAACAGACTATAACCCAAAAATGGTTTACAGGGTAGGGCAGAAAACAGTAAACCTGTTTTTTACCTGCCATTTCTTTCTTTCTACTATGTGGCTGTGCCTTGGTGGTTGGTTTTCTGTCAACAGAAACGCGCCCTTTAGTTCCCATTCACTGCTATGTGAAATTAACTTGTCTCTGCTCTCTGTTGTGTTTTTATTGGTCTCTCTCCTGTTGTGTGACTAGATCCAGCCCAAATCCCAACTATTTCTATCCACTGCCATCCTAACGGTACAACAGAGTTAGTTTGTAAAGGGACTAGCAGTGCCAGTGACGAATGTAAGTGGATCTGGGATACAGTTCAGCCTCAACCTGAGCCTTGCATTAAGGATGATGGCAAGAGGTTAGTTTTGGAACAGCATAAGAACGGAAAAGTTGTCTGTCAGATTCTCGAGGGAAACAAGTCCAGGAAGAGTTCACCCATAGAACTGAAATGTGACAATGGTGAGTATGGAGCTACAGTTTCTCTATTTTTTACCCCTGTTATGGTAGGAGTTGAAGGAATTGTCATTATCTGTATCTTCACGAGCTCTCTTACCACTTCACTAACCTCTTTTTATTCCCGCATCTCCTGTCTTATAAAATGAGTGCCCCTCATTTCCCCTCTGCGGCTCCACACTCCCACAGACATGTCTACAAAGGATTCCCCAAACTGATGCCCACTTCCCTTACTTCCAGATCACAGATCCTATATACCAGAGTGAAAAAGAAAGTGGGTTTCTTTCTACCTTGTTGCCCCTCAACCAATCATTCCTCCAGCAAGTAAGCAAAAGAAACAGTGCCCCCTATCCTAATCCTTGGGTTGCTGGACTCAGCTGCTGCATTTTGCCTTGGCTTTATACTCCTCATATATATCAGTTGTGCAAAGAAGTCTTCCAAGCTCTTATACATATCTCCACGCCAACTATTACCGTTAATGTTGTGCAAAAAATTCACCACGACTACTGGTTATTTTAGAGAATTTAGCTTTCTTTCACTATGGCCTGTGTCTGTGAACAGACTGTAATTTTATTAGTTTGCCGAATTGTTCACAGTTTCTGAATATATTGCATGAGCCAGTTTCACCCAATGGATTGATCAGCAGCTGTTAATTGTAGGCCTGATGGAAAACTCATTGATGTTATTGGAAGCACACCCATTGATATCTACCGGCTCTCGATCAGGCCCTGTGATAAGTCAATAAAGTATCTGATTGGCTATGTTTAGGGTTCACTCTGTGTGGCCACCTGCATCCCTTAATAAAATATGTTTCCTGTTTCCTATGCAGAAACCCACAGAAGAATTTAATGATAGCTGTCCAAAATCCTGGTGAATAGATGAATATAAAATCCCTCAGGCTACCTATTGTAGATAAATACATGGGGAGACTGGACAAACTGATGACAGAGAAAATTCACCTTGGATGCATGTTAACATAAAACAAATTGGCAAAAATAATGTAAACTTCTCAGGTGCAATGACAGACTATCACTACAGGGAATCTGAAGGGAAAGCTATGGGAGCTGAAGCCAGATTGATAAATTAGTTCTCTTAGTAGGCTGAAAAACTTTAAACAAACAAAAAGATGCACAGGCAGTTTAAAGCTGCTATATATTTTTGTAGGAAAAATCTTCAGAACTTTTGTGTAGTTCTCAAAAAAGTCATGTCTTTTTAGATGTATTCCCCCAAATGTTTATTGAAACTACCAATAAACATTCACGTTTGTTGAAAAAAAATATAATCAATGGTTATCAAATGTTTTACCTGCTGAAAACTTAATTTTAAGTATATAAACTCTTTTGAAAATAGCTTCGGAAAATTTGTTCCTGATAAATATTTTGAAAAATGTATTTTACATTCTGTTTCTTTTAAAAAGGAGATCATGCTGGTAGGTCTTGCTTAACCAACCTTATTTCCTTTCACGACCAGGTGACCTATCACCTGGACAAGGGAGAAGAAATTGATGTCATATATCTTGACTTTAAAAAAAGCTTTTGATCTGGTATCCCATGATCATCTCTTAGCAAAACTGGCTAACTATGGCCTCGGCCTCACCATGATCCACTGGCTGGGGAATTGGCTCTGTGGTTGGACCCAGGGGGTGGTGGTTGACGGAAGTCAATCATTGTGGTGCCCTGTGACCAGTGGGGTCCCTCAAGGCTCTGTCCTAGGGCCTATACTATTTAACATCTTCATCAATGATGTGGACATTGGTGTCAGAAGTGGACTGTCCAAGTTCGCCAACAACACTAAACTCTGGGGGAAAGCATCCAGACCTGAGGACAGGAGGGTGATCCAGGCAGATCTGGACAGGCTCAGGAAATGGGTGGATGAGAACCTGATGGTGTTTAACACTGAAAAACGCAAGGTTCTCCACCTTGGGAGGAAAAACCTGCAACATGCTTATAGGTTCGCCAGTGCTATGCTGGCTAGCGCTATGGATGAAAGGGACTTGAGGGTCACGATTGACCACAAGATGAACATGAGCCTTCAATGTGATGCTGCGGCTAGTAAAGTGAGCTAAACACTAGCTTGCATCCATAGATGCTTCTCAGGCAAATCCCGGGACGTCATTCTCCCCTTGTACTTGGCCTTGGTGAGGCCGCAGCTGGAGTACTGCGTCCAGTTTTGGGCTCCACAATTCAAAAAGGATGTGGAGAAGCTTGAGAGAGTCCAGAGAAGAGCCACGCGCATGATCAGAGGTCAGGAAAACAGACCTTACGATGAAAGGCTGATGGCTATGGGACTCTTCAGCCTGGAGAAGCGCAGGCTCAGGGGTGACTTAGTGGCTGCCTATAAGTTTATCGGGGTGACCACCAGTATCTGGGGGAATATCTGTTCACCAGAGCGCCCCAAGGGATGACAAGGTCGAACGGTCACAAACTCCTCCATGACCATTTCAGGCTGGACATAAGGAAGAACTTTACTGTCCCAGCCCCCAAGGTCTGGAATAGACTGCCGCCGGAGGTGGTTTAAGCATCTACTTTGAACGCCTTCAAGAGACATTTGGATGCTTATCTTGCTGGGATCCTATGACCCTAGCTGACTTTCTGCCCCTGGGGCAGGGGGCTGGACTTGATGATCTTCCGAGGTCCCTTCCAGCCCTAGTGTCTATGAAATCTATGTATCTATGGACCTTTCATTCAGAAAAAATGGTATTTCAACATTTTCACGTAAATATGTTTCCACATTTTGACCAGCTGTAATTATTATTGTAATTTAAATATTTGGCATCCTATATCAAGTTTAGCCACTGCAATCTTAAGTGAGGTGTACAGACTAAAGGCACCCCTTGTTAGACTCAACATATGCCTTGGGAAAATGACATCTCTTAAGTTTTTATTCATTTTTCAGTTCTGGAAAAATAATAGAGCAATTCTTGTGTTGCAAAGAATGTAGAAAGACCGCAGCAGCTCAGGATGTTTGTGACACTATGGATTTCTATTTGAAATCTCTGGGTTTTCCTTTGTGAATTATTTGTAGGTGTTTAACAGTTCTAATATTGTGTGACACCCTTAACAGGATCTTACAGCACCCTGGTTGAGAATCAGTAGTCCAGATAGATCGACTGACTATTAACTGGCCATACAAGTTACCATAACATGCCACTGTAATTGGCTAGATAAGCTACGTACATGGAGAGAAAGACTTGCAGACAATTCAAACTGTAAGAATAGTGTGTAAGGGACTAATTGTTGAGGAAAATAATGGGGTAAAATTATTCTGAAGCAATTCCCTTGGCATCAGAGAATTTATGGCAGGGTTAAATGTGGCCCCTGAAGTATATCATATTTGGAAGAAAGAACTTTTGCTATTGAATGCCTGAAGTCTAAGCAGATTGCATTCATAGAGAAGCAATACTTGAAAGGCTCACTTTCTGTCTAAGCCTATTAAGCCATCTACTTTTTCTGTCCAACTCGGCCTCTTTTTAAAAGTACATTTGCTTCCCAGCAAAATGTGTGTAGCTGGCAGTCCTCCCTTCTCTTTCTCCCCTCGCTGTGCTGGTTTATATTTGCCAACCCATCTATGACCTTCTGTTGGCCATCTGCACTCTTGGTCTCGTGGGACCGGGAAGGGCAATAAAGAGAAACGTCTGTGAAATAAGGCTGCATCATATAGTTCATCCTTTCTCTTTAATCCCCCCAAGCTACTTGCTTTCTCAGTGATCCCCACTGACTTCAGTCTGGTTGCTGGGCTTCTCTAGCCAGGGAGAACAAACCTGCTCACCCACTGTTCCTCTGCCTAACATGCTGCCTCCTTCATGCAGGAGACCTACTGAAGCACCCGTGGTTCTTTTACATTGTGGCAGGAAGTGGAGGGGCCGCCATTCTCCTGGCCACTATTTTTTCTGCAATAACATGCTGCTACATGAGAAGCAACTACAAATTCATCCCCGTGCCTTCAGGTGAGTGGGAATTTCTCTGCTAACTTCTGCTTGGCCAAGAAGACTTTGTCCCAGAAGAGGGTGAACAAAGCCCTACTACCTGAAATGCTGAACTTAATGCAGCTTCCCCTAGGTGTTGCACAGAGCTTGTGGCTGGGCCTGTCCTGTCATTCCTCCCTTTGTCCCAAGGAAGCAGAGCTCTGCAGGAACCTGCTTATTGAAGGGGAAACATCACCTGCTGATGGGTTTCAGGAAAAAAAAATTCTCCTCAAATTTGATAACAGGAGCTCCTCATGCTGACAGTGTGGCAAAGCTTTACTCAGAGAAAATTAATTAAGCAGTACTCCTCAGTCTGGGCCTGAGGTAGAGAGGCCCATTGGGTCCACTGTCGGGACGGAGCATTTTGTGCTGTGCTCTTTGTGATACAGCCGTGCTACCGTAGGTTGTAAGCACATCAGCTCTCCAAGCACTGGTAGGCTTTTGATTCCATTCAGAAACTTAAGGTTGCATGTTCTGAGAACGGAGCAAGGGCCACGTGAGAGGAAGACAAAGGTGAGTGTCACTGATCAGGCCTTGCAAGGACCATTCCCAGGAGGGTGGGACATGGACAACCTGCTTCATTCAAGTATCTTGTATGATTTTTTACAGAGGAAGAAAAGGAAGAGGGAATGCCACTCTCAGCCACTGCCAATAAAGCAGCAAAGTGCCCCCCAAACAGTGAGGCTCCAGCTGCCAAAGCTGATAGCCCTCTACATCCTGGTAAGTACAGTGTTTTCTTTTGTGCTTGTCTGACATATCAGTTATTTAGGAAAGTGGAGGACAGCATTAACTTGTGTTATTGATGGTGGAAGGAGCTGGCTAGATATCTTGGAGTCTGATGCAGTATAAGTTGTTGTGTGATCAGCAGCTGTGCTGCCCTGTCAATACAACAAGCTGCAGAAGGATGTGTATTAGTCACCCAGTGCTATGCTACACCGGTGCATTGTGGCCTCATGCCCATAACGCCCCCAGGAAATGCAGCAGAAATACGGCACATCACCTGGGAGTGAGTTGTAGCTAGCCGAGGATGACTCATTCATTTTAAGGTTCCCTTTAATATTCATTTTAACACGTATCTTTAGAAATAGTGTTAAGGTTTTACTGCAATCCTAACTCCCTGCTTTGCTTGTCCGGTATATTTTATAAGAGAGGCTCACACTAATATTGATCCTGCTTCTGGAAAGCATCCTTATTCCGGACAATACTTCAAATGTGATTAGCTCTGAGCACATATTTAAATCCTGTCGGACTCAAGGATATTTAAGTGCAAGTTCTACTTTCTTGAATTAGACCAGCGCTTCCCAACCTTTTCCTCAGCTATAACCCCATTTAAACACTGGAAATTTTTTGCAGCCCCAAAATGATGCAGATGAGATCAATGCTCCCTCCCTGCATGGGTGGCACAGCTGGACCGGAGCCCTTTGTGGGGCAGGGGGAGGAAGCAGGCTGTCTGCTGTGGGCTCAGGGCTTCCCACCCTGCTGCCCTTCCCCTGAGGGTGTCTGCTTTTGAACATCTTCAGCTGAAAGGGGAGTTGGTACAACTGTGTGCAGAATGGGGGCGATGTAGTTCTGATTTTCCACTCCTGTTAGAAAGTGAATATTAACATCTGCCTGTGCCGAGATGCAGAGAGATGGAGTTGCAATAGCCAAGGCCAGAGACGACAAAAGGACATAGACACAAATAACAACCAAACCTTTCCCAAATGTCACTGATTGGGAACAAGTTCACAACTGTTGTTGGTTAGAAGTTTCCATATGCACAGTGCCCTAGCATTTCATAGAGAAGAGTCACCTGTTAGGCATTGAAGTGCTGTGGTTCTTGACACCAAAAAGATCACTCAGCCCAGCATACCTTGCGGCAGGTAAGTTGGAAGGTGGAATGCTTTTACCTAAGATTTAAGGGTGCCAGGGAATGGGTGACCTGTGGTTGCAGACATTTTCACTTCTGCGCTTTCCCTTCTCTCCTAAACAAGAGTTCAATACATTTTAATAGCCTACAGTTGACCAAAGTGTGTCGTGTTCTTGCCTGACTCGTCAGAGGAGAGGTGAAGAGAGGGTGTACTTGGACCATGCTTTTGTGTTCCTAGACGTGGGGGAGCCATGAAGAGAGGCCTCAGTCAAGTAGGGAGTGAGGACACAGTTGGTTGGTAGAGAGCTTTTATTGGCCAAGCAACAGGTTGAGGAGCAATGCAGTGTGGGTTTCCTGAAAGACCAACCACGCCTACGTTATGAAACTCGGCCTTCATACATAACAATGAACCAGTTCCAAAGAGCACTTGATTTTCTAGTTGCGCTTTTGAACCATTCCAGGTGGCTTTAAACCAGTTTAATGGGCTTGTGTATCTGTTCATTTAAGGCTTAAACTGATCGAAATGTTCTGTGTATGTTTCTCCATGTACGTTCCCAATGGCTTGGGTGATGATTTCAGCAGAGGTGGTGTTAAGACAGGATAAAGCATTTAAAATTATTTCTCACTTCTTTTCCAGAAGGCACAGGGACCTGCCAAAGCCTTGAGTCAGATCTCACGATGGAAGGCAAGCCCAAGGCAGAGGCAAAGTCTGAACCGGATGCAGAGGTTGCCGTTGACATTGAAAACCAGGAAATGGAGTCAGATTCATTCCCCAGTCCTATTGACCCCTGATCAGACACACTCAGCCTTTTGCATTCCTTAGTCACATTCCACATCAGAATTGGTCTGAAAAATAATCCCTGAATTAGAGGGGCCATGTCCATGAGATGACCTCATTTAAACTGTCCTTGTGGCTAAAGCATATTGCTGTCATTAGCAATGGGGCAAACAAGTCCAGGCATATATAAGACTTTCCCAGCTCCCTGAGCCTTTGCCTATTTATAGAATTGCACATGAGCTGTGATGCCTTTTGTAAAGTTCTGAAACAATCTTGGCAGGTTTTTCCCCACTACAGTTGTCACATTTTTGCCCTTTTAAGATTCTTGGATGGTGCCCAGCCTGAAATGAGGATTGATGTAACTTTTTAATTCGAGTCCAAAACAGGTGCATGACAGAAGTCTCCTGAGAAAGCCTGTTCTCATGAGATTTTTCCAACATGTTTTATACATCTAAGAGCTTAGGAGAAGGCTCAGATAAGCACCATTGTTTCGGGTACCTATCTGGACCAAACTTCTAACCTCCAACCCCATTTCCCTCCAACCTTCACTAGTTACGTGAAGCTGAAAGATATGGTACCAACTGTGACTGTTGTACATAATGGAAGATAATGATTAATCATCATGTACATATTGCATTGCTGCCGGACCTACAGGTGGCCATGAGTATTGATTGAATATTGAGATGAGTGATTGACAGCAGGTCAATCTGGACTGCTTGCCTCTATCAGAAGGGCTCTGTTGCAGCTTGTGTCTGTGATTCTGAGAAGCTGGTTGGTGTCACCGTCTAATAGTGCAAGGCCAAGAGCATAAATACCTAAAATGTAACAGCCTGGCTATTGCAGACTGAGTGAACTGGCCAGCTGTGTGTATTTGGACTTTTTTTACTCTGTGTTATCTGTGCTGACAGTGGTAGTTTAGATAATTCCTTAAGTGGGTTTCACCCTAGAGCTGCTCTATATTGCATACATTTATTTTGCCTAGAAGAGACTGAGGAATGGAGCAACAAGTGTTCTGAGAGAGAGAATAGGGGCCTGTGATTAAGGTAGCAGCTGGCACTACAAGGTGGGAATGAGGGTCATTTGCAACTTATATGGAAGTTGAGGAGAGGAATACCAGCCCGTGTTGCAGGTCAGGCCTGTGATACATTTTCAGACCTGAGGAGCTTGGTATCAAAACAAGAATAAAGATGGGTGCTGATGATCAGGAAGGAGGAACACTGGAAAAACTGCATGTAAGGGCAGCATTTGGAATAGCGTGATAGAAAAAAGCAAATGGTGCAGTGCAGCACTGATGCTGCTGGTAAGGCAACCATGATGGAGAAATCAGCATTGCAGCTTACTGCTTTGGGTGCTGGTTTCCTCTATTTCACCACTGCTCAGTTACATTCATCCCAGTGTTGTACGGAAACAGAGGAGAGTTGTGTTTTTTGGATGCTAGCACCTCTTGTCTGCAATCATCAGATAAACAGAAAAGAAGCAAAACAGTCCCTCCCTTCCAGGCTGGGAGCTAGAGAGAAATGCATATTTAACTGAAAGGTCTTTTAGGTCCATTTTTAAGGGAAAGCTCTACACCAGTGGTTCACAACCTTCTGGCCCTGCCCACCAGATGAGTGGTGCCAGATTAGCCCACAGGAGCGATCCAGTGTGCTGGCTGTCCTGCATGCTGGATCTGGTTGTGTACTAGTCTGACCCTGTGCATCTGGATCAAGCCATGGAGAAACCCAACAGGCCAGCCTGATCTAGCATGCAGGGCCACCTTATACAGCCCATGGGTCCAGAAATTTCACAGCAGTTAGTGCTACCACTACTTCTTGCTGCCAAATTTCTGGATCCTGCGCGTGAGATGACAAGGCTCTGTGGGCTGGATCTGTTCCACAGTCAAGTTGAGCACCATAGCTCTACACCAGTGATAGTGCTTTTGTCTAAATGTTTCTCAGAGACAATTGCATTCATTGGACACGAGGCAGAGTGTGTGGCACCCAGTGTGCAATGCTATACCCTGTGCTTCATGGTGAAACCTAGGGGTTCATGGGAACCCCTACCACTCTCATGCAGTGGGGGACTAAGGGGCATTTGGAGTGCCGGGGAAGTGCAGGCAATTCTCGGGTTAGTGCTGGTTTGCTGCACTTGTAGGCAGACAATTACAGAAAAAAGGGTGACATCAACCCTGAGATGGTGCCTACCCCCGAGTCTGTTGGTGCTCCAAATTTTACAGAAAAGTTTCTGAGATGCTTCAGTTACTGAGAGTTTGGAGGCAGGTTATAGGCTGGAGCTAAACTGATGTTTCCTGTAATCCAGTAAATAAAAGGAAAGAGGGCTTTTCTTCTGTGGGTAGTTTATGATGCAGGATCCCTGCAAGGTCCTTCTTTCCCTTCTTTTGCTTCAGGAAACTCCTTGCTGACATCACTTGTGTGAGAATGTGTGTATGTGTGTGTGAGCCCTGGAGTTGCTGTTCCCCATGCATTGCTGTTCTGGCCCAGGCTCTGGGAGGTGCTTATTCAAATGAAGGAGTCTGGTGGAAGGCCAAGATGCCAGCCAGCCTTGCTTCCCTGCAGGTGGATATAGAAGACTATTCCCCTTTGCTTTCTCAACACAGTGGTACAGGACTTGGGCAAAGATGGCTCTTGTCACAGGGTAAGGGCCAGAGGGGATTCATGCAGCTTTTGCATTGTAATTTTTTTTCCATATATGCTGATGTTTGGCTGCGGGTTTTTTTTGATGCTGGTTTTGTTCCTAATAAAGATACTGTTTTATAGCTGATTGTGGCAAGTTTCCCATTCTATTATTTGGCACATGCCCTTTTATTTTTTTCCTTGGGGGAACTTTGCTGGAGATGAAAAGAAGGGAGTGCACACTTATATCAGCTTGGGCCTGTCTGACCATGCAATGAAAAGATGCTGAACTGTTGGCCTCATTTCTAAATGAAAGGATGAATGGATCTAAGTATGCAAAGATTTAAACACTGAGACTTCATGAGAATTACTTTGTAAGTATGTGCAGATGATGCTACAGAGAAGTGAAATATAATATGGTCTCATTTATTTGTTTGTTTGGTTTTGTTTTGTTTTTTTTTTTACACATGAGTCAGGCACACTTCCCTCTCCATCAGTGCTGACACAATGCCCAAGCCCAGGGGTTTTCGAACTTTTTGGGTCAGCTCCCCCCCCCCCCCCC